TTAAATTTTTCTTGTTTGCCATATAATAAACATCTTATTAACCGAGCTTAGTCGGTCTGTATGGGAGAATGCTGACCTCAGTCGTGTGTACAGACCTCACTGCGTTCGGTCTGCACTCACGACCTCGGTCAAGATTCTTACAAATCTTACAAAGCTACTAAACACCTAAAGCGGATAGAATGTCCTTGAACTGTCTGGTATTTGGTCGTTTTGATACAAAGTCTTTTCGATGTAAATCGAAGTCGTTTCGATGCACACGTCGATTCGATACAAAGTGAAGTCGATTCGATACAAACTTCTAGTCAAGTTACTTACAAAAGTAAAGTAGAAGAAATACCCCAATGAAAGTGTTGTAGATCTTGTAGATGAAGAACATTCTGATGATGAAGAACTCATGGAAAGTGCTTTTAGCCCGTCAGACAAAGGAAGAAAATGGCGCCAAACTCTGCAACTTGAGAGTAAGAGTGACGGTCCGGAACGTCAGCCGGCTGCTTCCACAGCTTCTGGACTAGACAGCAATTTGTCCCGTTGGCATAATTCTCAACTTGGGGATGAGAGGAAGCTGAAAGCTGAGCAAGATAAGGAATATCAAGAATCTCTTGAAATTGATTCCAGGAAAAGAAAAACTTTAGAGGACGAAATAAGAGAGTTGTCACGATTAGAAGAAGTTCGTCGTGCAAGAGAAGCGAGAGTTCCAAAAGAGCCAGATAATGAAGCTGGTGCATCAGCGCAAGTTCTTATTGTTGTGCAGCACCTTTTTCTGGGAAGAATAAGTCGCATTTTCTCAGCCAAAGAGAAAATGTTGGCAGTATACGATTGGGTAGGGTCTTTGAACCACCATCCTGAACATCTCAGTCTGCATGTAGAACCTGCTGTTGCAATATCACCTCAAGATAAAGTCCTTGATTTTCGAAGAGTTGTCATTTACGTAGAAAGTTCGGAGCAACCATTACCAATGTCCTTCACCTCTCCTGAAGTAAGTTTCAAGGGCTATGAGGCTGTAGAAGACAGCATGCAGGATAAATGGAGCCTTCAGATCTCGGCATATGTAGACTACGTGCCACCAGTTATCGAAGAGATACCCCACCAACTACTACAGCACGACACTGATCAAAGATAGTCTTTGTAGTCTGCTAACTAGCATGTACACCTTTTGTTAAATTGTGGATAACAGCTACTATCCTGGACAAAACTAGTTTAAACAAACAAATTTCACACACTTTTTGCACATGTCTTCACTTGCAGGCGAGTAAAAAATATTTTATTTCCCATTTCCCCTGTTCAGCGTTGTTTCATGGTGTTTGAAATTCGCCAGGCTTTGTTTTCACAACACGACAGCATTGATAACATTGAAATGGGTTAGTGAAGTTGAAAAAAATTAGCGTTGATACCCAAATTAGTAAACATTTTTTCAATTGTCCAAGTTTGAAACACATATACAATGGTATACAAGGGAATCAGGAATATATGAGACGATATTATGTATTGTATAATAGACTGTAGATAATTGAATTATCAGTTTATTGACGAGGAGT